TTTTAGAGAAATTATTTATAAAATAAAAATTATAGAGAATTATATTACAAACAACTTTTATTTGAACAATTTTTATAAAAAAATATTTTTTTTCATTTTGTCAAATTTCTCGAATACGGACCATTTTAGGAAAATTTTGTATAAAACAGAAATTATAGATAATAATATTAGAAGTAACTTTTATTTAAAGAATTTTCTTCTCCAAATGTAAATAACAGATATATTCCATAAAATATAAAAATGACTACCCATAAAGTACCCCTCCAGATGTTCTGACTCTGCCCAAAATCTAATCAGTTCATTGGACGATGAAATAAAGCTTAAGTTTAAAATTTGGTGATTTTCTGTGTATCGGTTCATGAGTTATGGTGGATACAGACACACAGACACACAGACACACACAGACACACACAGACACACACAGACACACACAGACACACACAGACACACACAGACACACACAGACACACACAGACACACACAGACACACACAGACACACACAGACACACACAGACACACACAGACACACACAGACACACACAGACACACACACACACACACACACACACAGACACACAGACACACAGACACACAGACACACAGACACACAGACACACAGACACACAGACACACAGACACACAGACACACAGACACACAGACACACAGACACACAGACACACAGACACACAGACACACAGACACACAGACACACAGACACACAGACACACAGACACACAGACACACAGACACACAGACACACAGACATCATCGCGAAAATAGTCAAAACGGATTCAGGGGACCTCGAAACGTAAAAATCCGTCGAAAACTCGAGGTCGAAAAAAATCATGATTCCTATACTTTCCTTATAACTGTATACAGATAGGAAAGTAAAAATGAAATGTCACAACACATAACCTGTGAAAAATATTAATTGATAATACACAAAGTGAAATGTACTCATATTAAATTACCATGACCAATTCCAATTTAAATAAAAACTGAACAGGACTAATCTAGAACTTTCAATTTAAAATCCGCATTGAAAATCATATTTGCGGTTTCAAGTTATATATGATTAATTTTCGTTTTGCTCTATACCACAGTACCAAATAATAACAAAAAAGCGATAATAGTAAATAACGGAGAATTGTGTTCTGTTTTTACGCGAGACAAAAAATGATTGTATTTTCTATCATTTACATTGGCACGTATGAGATTCTACTACGGTTTGCGGCATTCCTAACATTCTATTCGTTTATTAAACAACTTAATAGTCTTCTGGTTTTTGTTGTTGCTATATTTGGGACTAGGAAATCAACTGCCGTTTGTTTATTTAAACCATACTATAATGAAAGAGAAGAAAGTTTCTTCAACTTTGTTTTCAGCACCCTTGAATGTATCTAAATTATACCAAGTTGATTTCCTTTAAAATATTTTCCTTGAGCAGCTTTGCGTTGTCTCCGGTCTTCATAGGGGTTGCTGGAAAGCTGGAACTTAAAAGACCTTCAGCTCCTCTGGATGCTGTCGATATTACCAAAATGAACGTGCATTAAAGTGAGTTTTTATCTTGATGAAAAAAGTAGAATGATAGAATCAGGCAATAAGGAACTATGAAGCCTCAAGAAACCCATTTTTCGTCCAAATGTGGTTGATGACATTGTCATGGTGAAGTATCCAACTGTCATTAATGGTGCATCGTTGTTACAAATTTCGATGTTCCATTTTTCTTAGTGCACTATACAAATAAATTGTTTCCCAATCGCTTTTAGTGATGCTGCTTGTCTAATTACATTTTTGCCACGCCTCGTATAAATTCTTTTCGCAAACATATTCACTTATACGATCTACTTTAAGACACATGCATTGTTAGGAAATCAGTCAGCTTAAAAAAAAACTTGTAAAATTGATTGATATCGTAGATTTATGTTATCCGTATATTATATTCTATAGATTAAGATCATTATCATATATTATACCGGATTTCAATCATGTTACCTTTTATTTCATTTACACGCATTAATACTAATGGGTAGAACATTATCTTTTGATAGACAGTAGCCATTTTTTCTTTCAAAACACGTTGATTAACGGCAATCAATCTTTCTTAAAAATGTACCTTGTATACCAGGTAACTACTACTATTTTATCGCTTTAAAACAGAAGTAGCTTAACTCCAAACTTTGAAATGTTCAGTTTTTAATGACTTAGGATAGTTCAAACCATTACGGATTTGATGCAGAATTAGCCTAGGTATTATCTATATTACTTGGGGAGAACAATCATCTGAAAAAGTATCCTAGCTTAAAATTTAATTTTAATTTAATTGCAGAACTATCCCATCTTAAACTAAAAATAACTTAAGTGAAATTGTAATCGGAGATAGGTTTGTTCTATAACGACGACTACTACAGATTAATATACAGATAAAATATAAATAGAAATATTCCAGGTTTGCCTGGAGATAGGTTAGTTCTGTTTACAAGTAATAGTACAAAATTGTCTTGGAAATAGATCTGTTCTGACTTGAAGAATGCCCAGTTAGGAAAATTCAAAAAGTTGGGCAGAAAAAATATATAATTCTAAAAGAATATTGAGTTATAGAAAAGATACTTGCAAAAATGAGATATCAAAGAAAACCTTTGACCATCTGAATTTCTTCTATCAGAAAAAAGTCATATTGCCACAATATAACGAATTTTTTGATAAATATTCCGTATACTGCACAAGAAGAAAGAGATTCAGATCTAACTAGAATTAAGTTTTGCGTTTGTTTAACTACTTTGTTTAGTAAAGTTTGCATTTGGTTTGTTTTTTATTTTAATAACTTTAATTTTAGTTTTAAATCGATGACTGGTTTCTGTTCATTGTTGGAACAGACCTTATGCTATATACAGATTTTTCCAAAGTATCCAAAATACATTATTATTGACTAAACTGTAAACCCTTAATGTCGATAACATAATTTTTATAACGGTATTTTCAAAATCCTGAATATGACGTAAAAAAAATCCACTCCTTTAAAATTAATTATTTCCGGAGGTATATTATCTTTATCCTCATTCGGATTTTGAGAGGTAGACTCAATCATTTCTGGTGGTGTGTTTTCATTATTGTCATTTATTAGAATTAAAGCATTAGGACTTTGAGAGGTAGACTCAATCATTTATGGAAGTATATTTTCATTATTGATACAAATGGTTCGAATAGCAGTAATTATTAGAGTTTTCTTATTGTACAGCAATATTAATATCTAAATTTACGAGTATACTCGTTAAAAGTACATCCCACCCTTCATCTATAACTAAGCCATCTTGAACGTATATCACCACGTTTTCTACTATTCTTTCTATCATTTGAAATTGTAACCCACTTTTTAGATAAATCTGTAACCAAGTGTTGTACAAATTTTGGTCACAACTATTTCCGTTCTAGTTTGCTCCTTGGAGATTATAAAAGTGACCAGCTGTCTCGGTAGAAATATGACTCTAAAAATCGTAGATGTCCAATGATTTCAGCATTTTCATTTTTTTTATCTTGATCACTTTCCGCTCCGGCATAATTATTATTCAGCCACCTTTGTGTAGTTCACGTTATTCACATTAAATGGAAAAAGGCCGCACGTTTTAAATGCATTAGCAAAAATGTCTTTTAAATTGTTAATATTATCTAAAGCGATTTTAAGAACATTGACAAAATTTCAGATCAGTAATTTTGGTGCCAGACTGCAGAAAATATTTCTCGATTTTATTAAACTAGACTCTTGTACTAGTTTCTGTAGCCAGTGCTGGTGTTGCAGTTAAATTTTGGGTCATTCGTTTAAACAACTCGGTGTTCCTTTTTAAAAATCCTTCATACCAATGTCGGCCAGGTAAACCATTGGTAAAGGTATGTTTCTTATTTAACGACTTAACGCTTTCTAATAACTGGTCTTTAGTTACAGGGAATCTCATCTTAGCCATGTTTATTATCCAATCCGATAAAAAAATTTCTTCTTGCTTTGTTAACACAGAAGAGACACCACTTTTGCACTCTTCTGGAAATTTTCACTTAATTTTTCCAATAAGCGTTGTTCTTGGAACACCAAAAGTTGAAGCCGCAGTTGTGGTTAGTGTCCCACTCTTGAGGCATTTAAAGCAGCTTTCAAATTTTCTTTACTATATCTACCATATTTAGTTTTTGTCATCTAAAAATGAAATTTGGAAAAACCATCCATATAAATAAGTATTAACTAAGTACTTATGTAAGTACTTAATTGTTTGACAAGATATTTTTCCATAAGACGAAAATATGTACATTATGTACATATTTTCGACATCACTGTCGAATTTAGGTTGTCACATAAGTATGAAAATAAAAAAGAAAGTAAATTATTTCCTTTTTAGAATAATGGTGATTAGAGAGAGATGGCACAAAATAAATAAAACGAACTATATACCTATTTTCGACAGAACATGTCAAAATTAAAACCATAGGTTGTTCAGTCGTCTTTAAATTCGACATGAAGATTTTTTCTATTAAGAGAAGTAAAATAGCGAAAAAATATATCAAAATATTTAATTTAATGTTAATTTTTTACTATAAAACAATTGGAACATTTATTTGACTGACGCAAGCATGTTATTTGCAAGTTTATAATATGGTTGATCATCCCTTACCTTAGAGCAATCGTTACACTCTAGTTGCATTCACTGGTATATCTGCATTGACACTTTTTTAAGTTTGCTGAATTTAAATACTATCCATCACAAACACATTGGTAATTTTTAAAAATACCCGCCAAGGGTGTAGACCAATGATGTCTTTACATTTCATTATGTCGAATTTTGGGCCGGTGTCCGATTTATGTACAGTTACCTTACGTACCATATTGGTTGCTTACGTGTTGCTTACGTTCTGGTTTTGATATCTACCTATATACAATAATAATAATAATACAGTGATTGATTTAAGTGTATAGATGTATATAACAAACTAATATGTATTTTTATATTGTTTTAGGTGCCTTAACCCGTTCTCAGTTCCCAGTGTTTACAATCTACGCCCAGAAAAGTTGTTTGGGGGTGAAGCCTTGCGAGAGAGCTTGGTGTATAGACCGGGTCCAGAATCATCGATTGACAGGATACGTCAACGACCGTCAAGTAGTCTCATCGCGTCAAGAGTGCCTGGAACTGTGCCTGGGAGAGAACGAATTCGCATGCAGGTTAGTAAAATAACAAATTGGGGTATATAGGTGGAAAGAAGCTATTATGTTATGTTGAAAATGACCTGCATAAAATGGTAAAAATCTGAAGGAAAAATTCCAATTTCTCAAATATTTTATATTATAATAATAATGTTTATTTGCCAAAAATATTACAAAAGATAATGTTTAGTAACAAATAAACATAATAAGTAACAGAAGCAATGTAGATTGAAAAATTATAATAGAATAGAATACTTTTATTTAACTATGTTATTTAGTGTTACATAAATTTATAGCAAGTCAAAAAAAAAACAGAATAAACAATCATAAGATTAAAAATTACAAACAACAATAAAGTCATCTAACATACATATATCTAAAGCAATAAAATAAAATACGGAAACTCTTCAAACCTAATGGTACAAAGATGAAAGTGTCTTAATAAAAATAACTACACAAATATTTTTAGGGGATCTTAAAGGAGAAGATCCAGGGAGCATGTATCGTCAACAGGGAAATAAATGGAAACGAACATGATTTAAAAATTCCGAAATATAATAAAAACTGTGGTTTTCAAAGTAAATTTTCAAATTTAAAGTAAAATAGGTTTGTTGATTTTAAATTACTACGAAGTGCATTATATAGACTAATGTCATATGAGTCTCTACAAGAGTCCCTATACCCGACATTTGACAAAATTCTTATTGCTCTTTTTTGTTGAACGAAAATATCTTCAGACTCAACCGAGTTTCCCCATAACGAGATTCCATATGATATATAAGAATGAAAAAGAGAAAAGTAGGCAATTTTTAAAGTATGATAACTAGTTGTTTTTTAATTGACGAAGTAAGAACAAGGAACTAGATAACTTTTTTTTCAATTGTCCAATATGACTGGACCAGTTTAACTTATTGTCTATAGTAAAACCTAACAACTTTACAGTTTTAGGATCTGGTAGTGGTGCACGCAGCGACACATTCATGTTTTGTGATTTATCTTTATTTAGTTTAAGTCTATTTGCCGCAAACCAATAACCTGCTTTTTCTTCCAGTTCATTGGTTAGACTAGATAGTTGTGAGTAGCTATTACTTGAATAGATTAACGTAGCATCATCAGCAAATAATATACTATGGGTTTCAGGAAATTGCATAAATCATTTATGTATATGATGAAGAGTAACGGTCCCAGAACTGATCCTTGCGGAACTCCTGTATTTATAGGGTTTAAATTTGACCGGCTATTATTATAAAATACACTTTGAAACCGATTGCTGAGATATGATTTAAAAAGGTGTAACGCAGTTCCTCTAACTCCATAGTAATTAAGCTTTTCAAGGAGGATATCGTGTGAAACACAGTCAAACGCCTTTGACAAGTCGCACAGTGTAACTCCTACAAACTTTCTGTTTTCAATGCCATCAACCGTTTAATCAACGGCACACATTGCAGCGTCAGACGTTGATCGCTTTGAACGAAAACCAAATTGATGGGCAGAAAAAAATTATTTGTTTCAAAGTAATGAGACAATCTAATTTTAATTAGTTTTTCAATAATTTTTGAGAATGTATTTAAAATTGAAATCGGACGGTAGTTATTAATGGCTGATTCTTCACCTTTTTTGTGTAGAGGAATAACTTTTGCAAATTTAAATATATCTGGAAAAATACCAGGGAGGAAAATGTTATTGATTAATATTGTCAGAGGGTCTAATATAATTTCTATAGTTTCTTTTACAAGTTTGGCGTTAATCCCATGAATATCTGCACATGGCGAATTTTTAAGAGTTCTAACAACTTGGTAAAACCGGTAAAGACTTAATAATATTCTCCGCTACATTTTAAAAGAAATCGTTAAAGTCATTTGAGGTTAGACTTTCAATACAGTTTTTTTGTTTTGATTTATTTCTTACAAAGTTTACCAAATGTCAACTTGCTTTGGATTTGTTATCTACCATGGCTATATAATTATCATATGCATTCTTTTTTGCACGTTTTAGTTCAATATTATAGTTTTTCTTAAAGTTTTTAAAATTATTAACAACAACAGGGTATTTTGTAACATCACAAATAGTTTTTAACTTTGACAAAAAAATCTCTTTGCTCTGTAAGTTCTTTGGTAAACCAACAAACAGGCTGCTTATTTAAAATACGTCTGCTCTTCTGTAGCGGAAAATGTCTTTCAATAAGATCTGTAAATGAGTTACCAAAAAAGAAGATAAAAAGTCAACATCTTGACTTGTTTTAAAGAATCCCCAATCAATTTTCAAAAGAGAAAAAGATAATTTCCGTATGCTAGAGTTTGAAATAGCCCTAGTTAAAGTTAATTCTTGGGGCTTAGTTATAACTGCAGTTTTTAGAAATAAATACTGTCCTGAATGATCAGAAAACAGAGGGTCATATACCCCAACTTTATAAAAACCCTCATTTAAATTTGTCATAATATTATCCAAGCAACTAGATTGTGTAGGTGTGATCCTAGTATATTCATCGATAGTTATTGAAAGTCCGTAAGAACTCAACAAGCACTTTAAATAATTTAGAGAGTTAAAATTAAAATCACCTAAAACGATAATAGAATGCGAGGAATTTACAAAATCATCCAAAAGACATTCAAAATTTCGTAAAAAAACTCTCTCATTTCTACCGCTCGGTCTGTATACTGTGAATATATTAATTTTTAATTGATATAAAGTAATACCACAAAATTCTGAAATACCCTTTTCATTATATTTATCAAGATTCAGACATTTTGTTCTGAATTTATTTCTAGACAAGATAGCAACTCCTCCATGCTCAATATTTTGATCTCTACAATAAAAACTTTCCAGAATATAGCCAGGAATATTGATCTGAGTAAGATTACTTTCATTTTGCCAATGTTCCGAAACTAAAAAGAAATCAAAAGAATAATCGTTTAATAAAATTTCAACCTGTTCAAGTTTATTTCCAATACACCGCATATTGACATGGAACACACTCACCGAATCTTGGCCTCCAAAATCTCCTTGAGATAAGCATGACATTTTATTTTCTGTTATTATACTTTTATTTTTTCACATTGTTTTGTAGAATAAAATTCTTGTACCCCCTTAGGAGAATAGTTACACAGCGTAGTTGAATATATCAATTCAGTTCTGCAAATATTTCGTATCCAAAAAATCCAACATTTAAAATGAAGTAGATATATTTAAAATACCATTAGTATAGTTCATATATATTTTATTTTTGCACGAATTTGAATTTAAATACAAAAAATCTTTCTTGGCCATCATCGTACATATAAGGCGAAAGTGTTTTTTATTTCATATTAAAAAAATCGATTACTGATAGCATCGCAACTTCTACAAACTCATCATTAGATACCGACCGGCTCTCATTTACCCCACATCGCTAATCTATCACTAGAAATGACCGCCAGATGGCTGAAAAACTCGTAGAACCCCTGATGAATGTGCACATAAATTTTTTGGAATGATGATGTTATTCGATATATCGGTTGCGATTAAGCGCAGATGATGGGAAAAAAGTTCTGGTTACGATTTAATCAAGCATAAAGCTGAAGAACGAAGGTCGTCGAACGAAATTCTCATTCAAGAGATCTGAGAAGCGATAAAAATAAGGGTTTTATATTTTGTATATAACAATGTTCTTGTAGTTCTCATTTAGCTTGTTAATTTTTAATTTAACCTATTTACTGAATCGTGGTCGTAGAAAATATACAGTGCTTCTCTTTTCGTGAGAATGTAACACCCACAAACCGATCCCAAATCTAACTGCTCGCCACAAAACTCAGATCAATTTAATGAAATTACCGAGCAATCGGGTATTAATCAGGTAGCGGGTACCGAGCAAGGTTCTTAAAAAGTGTAATCAGTGACGATTCCCTTGATAAGTTATTTTCGTCAGTTGAGAGTTAAAATGTTGGCATGCCTGATACGCTCTCATTTGCATTCCTCCTTGGGTTTAATAATGGTACCACATAGTACTAATAGTACAATTTGTAGTGCATTAGAGTGCGGTTAGCATTGATTATACACTCGAGTACCAGATGGATTGGTTTAGATCTATACAGAGTGATTTGAGGAATTTTTGCTTTAGAATTTAAATAGTACCTACCTATGCTATGTTAAAAGGAATTCCAAAAACGTAACAATATTACAAAAACCAATTGTTTAAAACAACACAATATCTTTTCAAATCAAATAGATAAGTCATTCAGGTACTTCAAATTCTTATAGATAAAATTTATCATATCTCAAATAAATCACCATCAGTCAATATTAAACACTCGTTCGTCTAACATACATTACATTTTTACAATGAAAACAATTTTTTTTAAACAAAAATATATTGTGCCAATTTACGCCTTCATCATTATTATATGGATGTTGGCAGGGTACCACCTTATCATTGCAACAACAAAGTATACAGAAGATACAGAAGATTTAAATGAAAGAATATCAGGCAATTTAAACACAGAATTATCAGTAAACAAATGGTTGAAACAAATCCAACAAGAAGAAATAAAAAAACCGAATATAATACTGAATCAACCTTTTCAGAAACACATAATATACCAAAAGGAACAGTATGGCGACATGGGTAAACCGGTAGAGCTACCTAAAGACCTTTCACCTGAAATTCAGAAAATAATTGATGATGGATGGAGAAAAAACAGCTTCAATCAGTACGTCAGTGATTTAATAAGTGTTAAAAGATCTTTACCAGATCCACGAGACGAATGGTGCACCTATCCATACAGGTACAATGTGAAATTACCAAAAACATCTGTTATAATCTGTTTTTATAACGAAGCTTGGTCAGTATTACTGAGAACGGTTCATTCGATACTAAATAGGTCTCCTCCGAATCTTATACACGAGATTATACTGATCGATGATTTTTCCGATATGGATCATCTTAAACAACCATTAGTAGACTATTGGGCTAACGAATATAAGGTTAGAATTATTAGAAATAAGAAACGAGAAGGTTTGATTAGAGCTAGGTTGATAGGTACCGCCCACGCTAAGGGAGAGGTACTCACTTTTCTAGATTCCCATATCGAAGTAGCACCAGGTTGGTTAGAACCGCTTCTAGACCGAATAAACACCAATTACACAACAGTCGTTTGTCCAGTTATAGATACTATTAAAGCCGATACATTTGAGTACGCTTACGGAAATGAAGTTTTCGTGGGCGGCTTTGACTGGAACCTGTTGTTTTCCTGGCACAGCATACCGGAACGCGAAAACAAAAATAGGTTTAATCCTGCGGAGCCAGTGAATAGCCCCACAATGGCAGGAGGACTATTTAGTATCAGCAAGAAATTTTTCGAAGAATTGGGGACTTATGATGAAGGGTTTGAGGTTTGGGGTGCAGAAAATTTAGAATTATCTTTCAAGACTTGGATGTGCGGCGGTACCTTAGAAATAATACCATGTTCTCACGTAGGACATGTATTTAGAGATAGCTTTCCGTACGGTCCTTCTAAGAATGATTCTAATGAAAATTATTTACGAAGGAATTTACGTAGATTAGCTGAAGTGTGGCTAGACGATTACAAGAAGTATCATTATCAACGAAGAGGTGAACCTGATGTACCAATGGGTGATATCACTGAAAGAATAAAATTGCGCAAGAACCTTGGTTGCAAGTCGTTCAAATGGTTTATAGACAATGTATATCCTGAACTCTTTATACCAGAATTTATCAAAGGTTATGGCATGATTGGTGCTAACCAAATGTGTCTAGACAACTGGGTTGAAAGTAATGATATCTATCAACCTATAACATTAAAAAAATGCTACTCTACAAGTCTTGGTGGCAGTCAGTTTTGGTACTATAGTGATAAAAATGAGATTAGAAAAGAGGAGTATTGCGTTGATTACAGTGGGGATGAAAACATAGGCGTTCGTCTGTACCCTTGCCATGGTAATTATGGGACACAACAATGGGATTATCAACAAGAAACCGGGTTTATAATTAATCCACTATCTCAGCGTTGTTTAAAAGTTAGTGACGATATGTCTAATTTAGAAGTTAAAAATTGTGATAGTGGTGATGTTAACCAAAGATGGATTATAGAAAATGTACGAATTGGTTGAAATGGTGTTTTTGAATAGTTTGCAAATCTGGTTTAAGAATAATGAAAATAAGTTTCCCTTTTAGTTTGTTATGATCCAGGTATTTAAATATAGTATATTAATAATGATAAGAATTAAAGAAACTAAATACATCATTTAAAAAATAACTACGATTAACATTACAAAAGTTAAAATGAAAATAAAACGAAATTGCCAATTTGAATATGATTGGAGTAAAATTAAATTTGACATTACCGTAAAAATGTAAATGTTAAATATTTTATGTTTATGATATGTATAATTTTAAAAATGTACTCACCTAAATTGTATACTGGAAGTTTAATAATATTTCAAAAAGTAAAATACGTTAATTAAATAAAATTCTGAATAATTATAAATCCATTAAATCCGACAAAGAAAGGGAATCTCTTATAATAAAAAGTTACGTATTATTACAATATGTGTATAGTATATTGACTTTTTAAAAGAAAAACTAGATCAAAAATCTCTCTTTACAAAATTTCCAAACTTCGATTCATTGGATAGGTACAAGTTGATACAGATCATGTTTCTATGTAGTTTGCAATATCTAGGGTTCCTCAGGGTACGAATCTGGGTCCATTTTTATTTTCCTATCTTTATAAAGAATGATCTTTCTTATTATATTAGTTCATTTATTTTACTGGAATTGAATGTATTTTCTTAAGTAAGTAAAAGCAATATTTATTTTAATACATTTTTAATAGTAAATGGTATTTTTTTAGTTTTTACTTTCCTATCTGTATACAGATATAAGGAAAGTATAGGAATCAGATTTTTTTTCGACCTCGAGTTTTCGACGGATTTTTACGTTTTGAGGTCCCCTGAATCCGTTTTGACTATTTTCGCGATGATCTCTGTGTGTCTGTGTGTGTGTCTGTGTGTCGCATAACTAATGAACCGATATACATAAAAACACCAAATTTTAAACTTAAGCTTTGTTCCAGCGTCCAATAAACTGATTAGATTTTGAGTAGAGTCTTAACATCTGGGAGGGGGGTATTTTATGGGTGGTCATTTTTATATTTTATAGAATTTATCTGTTATTTACGTTTGGGGAAGAAAATTCTTTAAATAAAAGTTACTTATTATATTATTATCTTACATTTTTGTTCCATACAAAATTTTCCTAAAATGGTCTGTATTCGAGAAATTTGACAAAATGTAAAAAAATATTTTTTTATAAGAATTGATCAAATAAAAGTTTGTAATATAATTCTCTAAAATTTTTATTCAATACATAATTTCTCTAAAATGGACCGTATTCGAGAAATTTGAAAAAATTGTAAATTTTGAAATTTGAAGAAAAATCAAAAACGGATAAAATAACATTAAATTTTAAACTTGTTTTATTTCGGCCTGACGTGAAATGATGAGGTTTTGGACAAAGTCGGAACATCTGTGGGGGTACGGTGGTGTAGCGGTCTATCGCGCTTATATTCATTTATAGGCAAGTTTATGAGTCTGAGACCGCTGGGTTTCGAATCCCAGACCAGACCATGTGGATTTTTAATTAAATTGCATGGTTCGGTTTAGGATTTGATGTGTGGCGTATTAATAGAAATTCAATTTCTGTTGATATGGCATGCAGATTAAAAAAATTCGCCATACATTACCGTCTCGATGATGGTGGGTGAGGTTTTCCGGGTTTTCCTCACCTGTAAGTCAAATGGCACCATCAATCATCTTTAAGTCGCCCCGGAGCGCCACGGCAAATAATAATAATAGCCGTCCCTTTCCCCGGACAAGCTCAGCTTTTGGGGTTAAAATTCACTCGTAAGGGGGTGAATTAGGGAGAGTATTATTATTATTATTATTATTATTATTACTTTATGGGAGGCCGTTTTTATATTTTATGGAATATATCTGTTATTTATGTTTGGAGAAAAAAATTGTTCAATTAAAGTTACTTTTAATAATATTATCTATAATTTCTGTTTAATGTCAAAATTTCCTGAAATGGTCCGTATTCGAGAAATTTGACAAAATGTGCAAAATTCTGATTTTTATGAAAATTGTTGAACTAAAAGTTATTTGCGATATCGATCTCTATAATTTTTGTTTATACATGATTTTTTTAAAATGGACCGTAATGAAAAAATTGTAGGAAATTTAAATTTTTCAGTATTTTCGTTTTCAATGAATATCGATAGAAAAATGTTTCGATGTATGTGGACAATATATATATTTAGTTTATCCTCTAAACATTTATAGAGATGCTGCAATAGGTTGTACAAAATACCCGGAAAAAGCCTATAATAACTAGATAGGAAAGTCATGTGTTGGACACATCAGATTTTTTAATCAAGAATAGGACATAGAATAACTGAAGATTCTCTGATTAAATATTAGGCGATAAAATGAAATATGCTTGGGTAAAATGTTAAAGATATAAATTCAAAAATTATTAATGGCTATAATTTTTTTTTATACTCAATTTAATTTAACTAAATTCAGCAAACGTTTTTATTGTTACTAGATAAATCTATCATCAAAAAATCAGTTAAATAATCTGTGCCAGTGGCGTACGGCGTGGGTAAGTAACAACTTCATCCCTTCTAAATTTTATGCCAGTGTCCAAAAACTTACTTAGACTATAATTTTTAATTTTTTGATATTTTTTACATGAATTATGTACTCTTGTTAAAAACTTATAAAGTAATTGGTTTTCGACATATTCGAGACATTCATTTTAATTTATTTTATATTTCAGAAATTTTAAAATTTTTAACGAAAGAACATGATTTATTTAAGTAACAATTTAAAATTATATTCCAAACAAAGTTTTGGACAGTGGCGTAAAATTTAGAGAGGATGAAGATGCATGGGTAAGTGAAAACTTCATCCACCCTAAATTTTACGCCACTGGCAAAGTTTATTTATTTAACCGTTTTTTTACTGATAGGTGCATCTTATGACATTAAAAACGTCTACCGAATTTAGTAAAATTATACTGAGTATTAAAAAATTATAGCCATTAAATTTTTTGCGAATTTTTTTAATTTAATATCATGTATTTTGGAAATGAGTAACATTTTATCCAAGCTTGATTTTTTTAATCGTCTTATGTTTAATCAGAGAATCTTCAGTTCATTCTTAATTGAACATCCTGCATATGCGACGATCATTTTCAGGGATGCTTAAGAATTGAGATATGTAATCGTAATTTAAGTATTAGCGGGTGGAAGTGCAGAATATTAAAATGTGCCTTCAATATCTATACTTTTTTGACACTTCCTTTGCTTCCTGTGCTAATATTTTGTATTCTAAATATTCTCAGTTCCTCTGTATTTCCTCAGTATTGGCCTCCAGCGAATAGAAGAGTTTTTTTAATTCAAAACTTAAGAAATTATTGACATTATCATTTAGAATCTTAAAAAGTATAGGTGCAGGCAAGTACGGCTCTGGATTCAATAACTGTGATTGATTCGAAAAGCTCCTCTAGCATGGCGTTACAGCTTATTTCCTGTCACTACCAGAGGCGAAAATCTTCAAAGTAGCCGAAGAACTCACAGGAAATTATATGATAATTTTGATTATTATTGTTCTGCCTTATTTGGACCAACGCATCTGCACTAGTATGCTATTTTCTTCTAGAAATTTTTTGTTTTTTTTTTCTATCCGGAATTAATCGAGTCTAGAGTCCGAGCGAGATAATTCGATCCGCATAAAATCGATCATAACATAATATCTTTTTAGTATAGACTATACAGTTGGGATCAATTTCTCTAAATTAAAAGCATTTCTTTATAAGCGTACCAATAAATATTTATGGTTACATGTCACCAAAGCATGTAGCTACATCTATCGAGGCATTTATTTAGAAGCTTACTAGAACATACTATAATAAAAAATATCAAAATCGAAACATCCTAACATTTCTAATATTAAAATTCCGTTTAGAAAACCCCAAACTTAAATTAAATTTGACATATGACATTCAGTAATAACAATTGCAGAACACTTACCACAATACTCTAATCAAGTCTTAGAATCAAGTATGTTGAAATAAATGTCGAATTCAATTAAAATATTAAATTACTAATTTAGCTCAATTACCAGGGTAGATTGTGAGAATCTTAATGTCAGGGCACACGTTGATTCACACTCCACATTGGGCGCCAACAAAAAAAACTCAGGACATCACTGGATAAAGTCGTATTTTCTCAAAATATTAACCTAATGATTCTAATTTTCCCATCAACGTTTATCGCGCTATTTTCATTATACAACATACTTTTTCTACTTGAAAGATTTATTATTGCGTAAGAGGCGAAGTTATAGCCGTTTAGCCACGATGATTGCCCCCTCGCATTCCGGTGACAAATTATTTAAAAATAAATAATCTGCGTCTTTAAATGACTATAACGATATCAATTACTGTTTCGAGTAAATTGCCCCGGCTTGATGCTCGAGAAGAGCCAGTCAGTTGTAATTTTCAAGTGATAAAACAACAACTACCTACCTACGGTTACATATCGAACTTGACAAGCCAATAAAAGGTCGGGATTGATTTATCGTTAAGGATGGAATGACTGCGAAAAAAATTTGCTGTTTTATGGTAGTTGAATTTTAGTTATTGTTTTTTATATATGTACACACCTTTTTAGTCAAATCATACGGACTCGTAGCACAAGCACAAAAATTATCTAAACTCTGCCCCCTTAATTTTTTTCGAAAAAAGTTATAATCAAAAAAGTTAGAACACTTTTGCTGATTTTTCACTAGATATGGGGAAAACAATTTGACTGCACAAAATGGCAAGGTGCAATACAGCGTATATCTTCTTTATTATTGATCCGATTTGAAATGTCATACAGTTTCCTCAGAAATTTGCTAAAGCATGTTCTAGCAACGATATCTTTCACGTCAGGTGTAAAAAGGGCTATTATCATTCATCAGAACGATCTATCAAGTTAACTATTACGTCGCCCTTTCGATCGTCTTCGACATGACTTAGCAACAATGATAGTTGACAGATGATATGACAGTTGACGTGATAAGTCACACCAATGACTGTTGGCAACCTTGTTGACATCTGTCGTGACATATAATGTTAATAGAACATACTATTCGACATCGCAGGTTTTTAGCAGATTTTTGAGAAAACTACTAATCAAAAATCCCATTTTTGCACAAAAAAGCGTTATTTAACATAATTTTAAACTTTATTTCATTAGAAATTTACAATAACGGCATATAAATTAATAAATTAAAAATATAATGTAGCCAACATATGACTTTCCTGTAAAGTTATCAAATATATTAAGATTACCTATTTTGAATATGAATTAAAGATACAAACTTCAAAAAACATTTTTTCTTCTAACTTCTTTCAAACAAAAAAATTAAATTTTACACTTTTTTTCAAATTTATCCATTAAGGCCGTTTTAGAGAAATCATGTATGGAACAAAATGCTAGAGATTAACATCACGAAGAATTATTATTAAAATAATTTTCATCTCTAATCATAAATAACAGAAATATACCTTAAAATTGAAAAACGATCCCTTATAAAAATAGCTCCTTAGATGCTCCGACTATGTCTAAAATCTAATCAGCTCACCGTAGGATGTATTAAAGCTTAAGTTTAAAATTTAGTGTTACTTTCATTATCCCTGGACACAGACATGCACACACAAAGTCATAATTGCGAAAACGGTCTAATCGGATTCGAGGAACTCCAAAACGTAAAGATTTGTATTTGTTAAGAACTCGAGGTCAATAAAATCATGATTCTTATTGAACACATATTAGTAAAAAATTGAATCATTTATTTTATCAAAATTTTATCCTATTGATTTCCCATGAACGTTTATTTATTTTTTGTAAAAAAACACTTCATAAGGAGCGTTTATTAATATTAAAATCTGATCGAGAGTTAATCTTAAAAACTAATGTTCTACTCGCTAGTATAACTTACAATTATAATTTAATTACACTAACCTATCGTGTAACACAATCACTTGGCTCACTCTCTTGAGTCTTCTTGTCAGGTTCGTGTTGTCAAGAAGCTGAATATCGCCTCAACGATCACATGTTGGTGATAGTCTGGTCAACAGTGTCCATCTGAAGGTCTCGATGAAGGTCACTGTTTCTAATGTACCAAGGAGCATCGACAATGTTCCTCAATACTTTGTTCTGGAAT